ATACATGTAAATATTTTCAAAATATATGCTGTATGTGTGTCTTTATATATACATAATAAATATACACAGTACACACACATATAGTATGTAAACAAAAACTTTTATTTTGGATGCGATTAATCGCGATTAGTCGTTTGACAGCACTAAAAAAAAAATTTATTCAGGCGATTAATCGCGATTAGTCGTTTGACAGCACTAAAAAAAAAAATTATTCAGCAAGGACACATTAAATTGAGCAAACATGACAGTAAAATATTTCTTTAAATAAATGCTGTTCATTGAACCTTCTATTCCTCAAGTCAATCCTGAAAAAAGCACCATGGTTTCCACAAAATATATTAAGCAAGAACTGATCATTGAGCACAAATAACAACTGATTAATTGAGCACTAAATCAGCATATTAGAATGATTTCTGAAGGATCATGTGACTGAAGTAATGATGCTGAAAATTCAGCTTTACATCACAGGAATAAATTACATTTTAATACATATTACAATTTTAAAATAACATTTCTATTTTAATATTTCACAATATTACAGTTTTTACAGTATTTTTAATCAAATAAATGCAGCCTTGGCGAGCACAATAGACTTTCAAAAACATTTAAAATATCTTAATTATTCCAACGATTTGAACGGTAGTTTATGTATGTTGCTTTATCAAACATTATATGAGCAATTTTAGTCATAGCTGTACATATAAATGAAGGTAACTCTCTCTCTGAAGGACATAAAGAATGCAGACTTGGCTCTGTATGAGTTGAGCAGAGTTATTGCACTGGAGCCCAGCAGACCAGAAGTATACGAGCAGAGGGCCGAGGTGAGTAGCAAGGGATTGACATCCTTCAAATTAAAATAAAAAATGTATTTCACTGCTAAATTAAGACGTAAGGCGTGAGTGGTAATAATGAAGCGTGTGATTTCAGATTCTGTCTCCTCTGGGCCGCATCAGTGAAGCTCTGTCTGATCTGACTAAAGCCATACAACTGCAGCCTTCAGCCCGACTCTACAGACACAGAGGAACACTGCTCTTCATATCAGAGGTACACACACGACACGGCCGTCTTATCTCTCAGGATGCACTTCGATTTTGACTTGAATAGATTGTAAAAGTGTGGATCTATTATAGATCTCTTTATATAATGTCCAGAGCGGAAAGATAGCGCTGGTTCTGTCTGGGTACAGAGTCCAGAAACTTCATGTTTGTCAGCTTTAGCACAAGTGAAGATATTTATTGTTATCCAGTTGAACAGTAACTTGATTGATGCATTATAAATACTGCAGCGTGTCTTTGTGGTGCTACACATTGTAAGAGTGTATCCCCCTTTTAAGCTTATTTCATTTATTTGTGTTTATTGGATTTGTGATAGCAATCTACATATAATTGTGCTTGACACGTTGTTTGGGTGGGTTAGGGGAAGGGGTTTATACAAAACAATTAATTGTCTGTAAATGAAATGTATTGTTTGCCCACTGAAGAAAAAAGTATGAATCATAAAAAAAATAATAATACTACAGCGTGATATAAAAAGAGATAAGTGAGTTTTTAATTGTAGGGGTCATATCATGAATAACCAATTTTATCTTATGAGATAAGGGTTTATTGTACTATAAAGCGGTTGTAATTTAAGGTGCGTTCACTGGTAATGTTGATCTGCAAATTTTCATGGATGAAATCCAGTCATTTAAAATGCGATTGGGAATTTTGCATAAGGGTGAAAAATTTCCCCACGCAGATAAATATTTTCTAGTCATGCAGATTTGCTGCATTTAAAAACAGAAAGCTGCTTGGTTTGAAATTAACTTCTGTGTGAGCTGTGCCTCATACATCTCTACACTGTTGACAATTGAAAATTAACCTTTTATAACTGCTAATGTGACTTCCCTGTTAGTTTTCCATGACCGTTTTTTGACCCTCCAAAGCAAACTGGCGGTTGCTTTGAGATATTAGTATTAATTAACCATGTAATTTTGTCGCAAAACTTTTGTTGGACTAATTAAATTTTTGACTGTGTTCTGTTCTTGTCATATTCCAGCTTATGAATTGGAAAAATAGCCCATTCTTGATTTTTTTTTTTATCCAACCCCGTTGATAAAAATAAATAAACAAGAAGATAATCATTTATAGTGCATGTTTTTAATGTATACATAAATTCTGGCTTGTTATTTTACATATTATTAAAGGAATATACACAACTGTTCAAAGATTTGGGGTCGGTAAGATTTTTTAAAAAAGTCTATAAATGTCACCAAGGCTGCATTTAGTTTATCAAAATACAGTTAAAACAGTAAACTTGTAAAAATATTATTACAATTTAAAACAACTATTTTCTATTTTAATATATTTAATATTTTTCAGCATCGTTACTCCTGTCTTCAGTGTCACATGAGCATTAAATCAGCATATTAGAATGATTCATGAAGAATCAAGAAACATGTATTATTATCACTGTTGGAAATAGTTGTTCTGTTGAAACTGATATACATTTTTTTGCAGTGAAATAGGATTTTTTTGTTTTTTTGTTTGTGTAATAGATTTTTATTTTTTTAAAATCCTTACTGCCATTTTTAATCAATTTAATGAATCTTGCTAAATGAAACTATGAATGTACATTCCTTAAAACTCCAAACTTTTGAAAGATGTTGTTTTAATTGCTCAAGATTTTATAATATTTAAGGATACCTTCCTTTCTCTCATTGTCTTTCAGGATTATATGGCAGCCATGGAGGATTTCCAGCAGTCTCTAGAGCTGAAGAAGAACCAGCCCATCGCTATGCTCTATAAAGGCCTGACCTTCTTCCACAGGGGCCTCCTTAAGGTAAATAAAATAAAATAAAAAATCACAGATGTGTTACTTTTGTACAAGTGGAAACCAATCCAGAATGCCCTGGTTAAAGAACCTTATGTAGTTTAGATGTAAGAACTAGACTGAAACCAGCAGAAAGTTTAATGTTTAAAGAGGTTTACCATTTTACACGTTTTACAATAGACTATATTTACTGTAACTGTCTACTTAAATTATGTTTTCTGCATGCAGGAGGCTATAGAGGTGTTTAAAGAAGCTCTCAAATTGAAGTCAGACTTCATAGATGCATATAAAAGCTTGGGTCAGGCTTACAGGTGAGCTGCTACTGACTCATGATGATTTTAACAGTCAGTTTTTTCAGATGTTTCTCTGCAGACAATTGTGTGTGTGTGTGTGTGTGTGTGTTCAGGGAGTTGGGTGATTTTGAGAATGCTATGGAGAGCTTCCAGAAAGCTCTGTTACTGGATCAGAACCACATCCAGTCTCTCCAGCTCAGAGGAATGATGCTGTACCATCACGGCAGCCTGCAGGAGGCCATTGGCAACTTTAAGGTAAATCAAGTGTGTGTGTGTGTCCCAAATGGTGTTGTGTTTATCTCTTTGTTGCCAGTAGTAATCCTTAAAAACAACATGAAGTAAAATAGATTTGAAGTGGGCTGTTTACTTAATGTAATGTTCCAATCACAACAATTCTTGATAGATAAAATCAAATCCCACTGAACATTATTTCCCAGTAAATAGTCAGTTTTAATGGGAAGTACATTACATTGCAGTAAAATGAATAAGAATACAGAAGAATTAATATCAGTTCTTATAAGCTTGAACAAAAATAAAAGATTCACATTTATGCTTTAAAATCGTTTTAGAATACCTTGAACCATAGACTTGTAAGCAAATAATTATTTTATTTGTTTATTTTATTTTATTTATTAAGTGATATTTCAAAGTGAGGGACAACTCAAAATTATTTTATTTTGTAATTGACAATATATGCTGCTAGTAGAGTCAAAGTTCACCCAAAAATGAAACTTCTGTACTCATCCTTATGTTGTTCAAAACCCACAAGACTGTTGTCCAGCTTTGAAGCACAAAAGATATTTTAAATGCAACCTGAGAGATTTCTGTTCCTCTATCACAATGTCCATTGCACCAAAACTTTGATGCTTCAAAAAGTTCATAAAGACGTCGTAAAAGTAATCCATATGAATCAAAATGTAATTGAGGTTTTTATTTAAGTATAAACATCGATTATCCCACATACATAGATCACATTGAATATGGTAAACAGAAGCTTAAAAGCGCTTGTTTGACACTTAAAGGCAGAGTAAGTGATTTCTGGTAGCCAATGTTGATATTTGAAATCACCAAAACAAACACGCCCCTACCCCAAAAGGCTCTTGCCCCTATTTTGATAGCTCCGCCCCACATATACGTACGCAACCCAGGCAACGATTAGTTCTGTGAAACAAAGCAAAACCAATCAAAAAACTTTAATTTTGATTTCATGGGGACTTTAAGAACCAATAAGTTAAGTTCTCGCAAATTAAAATGATCATTCGTTCATTTGTATTTCTGAAGCCAAACAAAAGGCTTATGGGTTTACAGCAACATGAGGATGCGTAAACTCCAGAATTGTCATTTTTGGGTGAACTTTCCCTTTAAGTTCTTTCTACAAACTCAGATTCATTTGCATCACTTATGTGGGACTATATTTTTCTGTCTCTATTGAAGATCAATTAGAATTTTTTTCCAGTCAAGATGACCTGTGTAGAGTAGTGCAACTCCAAAGTCTTTCTTTACAATATCAATAGCATTGATTTTTTTTTTTTTTTAGTTCATTAAAGTCACTTATACATGATTGTTTTTCTTTCAACACAGTATTTTTCTTTTTTTTTCTTGTAACGTTTTATTTAATTCTTGTATTGAATCTCAAAACGAACACATTTTTGAGTTCTTCTGGTCAGATGATGACGGTTCTCGCTTGTGTTGCACATTTGGATTTGTGTCGCGGGCTCAGAGTCCTGTGGTTGTTTGTTTCAGTAATGTGTTTTATCGTGTTATCTTTCAGAGATGTCTGCAGCTGGAGCCCTATAATGAAGTGTGTCAGTACATGAAGGGTCTCAGTCACGTGGCCATGGGCCAGTTCTACGAGGGCATTAAAGCTCAGACTAAAGTCATGCTCAACGACCCTCTCTTGGGACAGAAAGCCAGCTCCGAGTATCTCAAAGTCAAATATCTCAGAGGTGAGAAATTACATGTGTATAATCATTTTTTTATTAGGTCATTAACAAACATTACATAATCACTAGTTCTTATTAGCTTCAGTATCTGTGTTAGCCAGATAGATGGTGTTATCTTGGTACATAAACCAGCAAAATTAGCAACAGCAGTTTCATACATCTTACTGTAGAAAACATATCAGTCCACGAATGTAAATAAAATCACATTGGTTCCGCTCCATCCTTATTGTGGAGTCCTGTAATAGAGGTGTAAATATTTGTTATGATTTCAGATCATTATTAAATGATGTGATGCATCAACCTGGTTCAGATTAAAGTGTACAAAAAAAAAAAGTTTTTTTTTTTTTTTTAATCAAAAAATCAGTACAAAAGTAATGTTGTGAAATATTATTACAATTTCAAATACATTTTATTTAAACATATAAATCACTTTAGTGACACGATCCTTCAGAAATCGTTCTAATATGCTGATTTGACACTCAAGAAACATTTATTATTATTATTATCTGTATTAAAAACAGATTTTCATGGAAACCGTGATATTTCCTTTTGTTGATGATCCTTGATGTTCCAAAAGCACAGCATTTACTTGGAAAAAGAAAAATTCCCCGAACATGTGAACAGTAGTGTGTGTGTATATTTGTAGTATAGTAATTATATTACATGTAAAATAAAATTGTAATCAATTTGATTTCACCCCTTTAATAAAAGGTTACTATGAAGTGTTTCGATAATGATTTGGAGTTGAAATATGCCTCTGTTTCTGTCTCTCATGTGATAGAATACTCCCGTTATCTACACTCTCATCTGGATGTACCTGTTGCGGAGTATAATGTTGATCAGGATTTGCCTGGAAACTTTAAAAACCACTGGGCAAAAAATCTTCCCTTCCTCATCGAGGATTATGAAGAACAGCCTGGACTTCAGCCTCATATTAAGTGAGTTTAGATGCAAACTGAGTCTTTTGTGTTTTGGGGCATCATGTATAAATAATGAGATAATTAGTATGCTTTTGCATGTTGTGTCTTTCTTTCATTCCCTGCTTGTTTTGTGATTGTAGAGATGTTCTACCTCAGAACTTTGACAGTTACTCTGCTGAAGTCCAGAAGCTGATCTGTACAGCGGATCGCCTCGGCGCACTGATGCAGTACGACACTTTAGGGTTCTTACCAAACCTCAGAGTACACCGAGGTCAGAGCTCTTTAAAAGCACTTAATAATACAATCAGACTTGTTTTTTTTAAAGAAGTTTAAATGATTAAATAATAAAAAATATATCAATAACACGTCGTGCAAAAAAGAACACTTTAATACATCTCAGTGTAATTTTACATGTTTTTACATATATTATTAAAAAAGTTTTTTTTTTTTTACCATTTTTTTTATATTTGAGATCAGAGCTCTTTAAAATCACTAAATAATAGTGATGCAAATATAAATATAGAAAAGTTTAAATGACTAAATAAAGACAAATATTAAGTCATGTGGTGCAGCCTTCAAATTAAATTTGATAACAATTTTTTTTTGCACCTTGAATACATAAACAATCATATTTTAAACCCAGAAGACTTTCTGGGTTTAATAGAAAATTTCATGAATTATTAAGTTATAAATATCATTACGTTTTTTTTATCAGTTGCACCACAGGACTTTTTTTGTAATGTCATTAAAAAGTCAAAAGCTGTGACATAATTTTCTGTTTTATGCTGTTTTTTTCTGCATGTTGATTGGACCACAAGTGTTTGTTCATAATACGTAATAAGCAGTGATTTTTTTTTATTTTTTATTCATTTTTAATTAATTTTATTGGTGCATTTTTTCATCTTAGAAATAACAATAAAATCCTATGCCAACTTAATATGGTTTTCAACTTTTTTCTTCGTTATGATATCAAAACTTTTGTTTCCAAAAAATATCAAAATGAATTGTAAGTAAGGAATAATTGACTCCGGGCCGTTGAATTATTAGAAAAATAATGCCGCTTCGCATCGTGGCCGCATTACCACCTCGGGTGTGCATTATTTTTCTAATAATTTTAGAAACAACAATTATTCCGCTTATACTACGGTTACCACACCTCAAGACATCGATCAGATGATATATTTAAAGGGATTCGTCCGGTTTTTGTACTTAAATCGCTATTGTGAGTAGGATTATTTCTTCCGCACCTCATCCAACGCCTCTTTTGCTAGTTTCAAAACGTCATTTTAAAGCTGGTAATGGAGGCTTGAGCCGTTGATAGCATTCTAATGCAGTTATTAATGAAGTTATTAGAAAGAGAGCGAGAGAGACAGAGACACATAGAGAAAGAGAAAGAGAGAGAGAGAGCTTGTGTGAATTAGGCTACCTCTGTACGTCCCTCAACAGTGTTCTGCAGCAGCTTTTCTAAACAGCGCTGTTATTACCTCGCTAGTGAGAAATGTCATGTGTAGCCTTTAAGTTGCTACACTATATAGGCTAACTGATAAAATCCGGCCCCGTAGTAGAATTAAAAAAAAAAATAAATAGAAGAGGTGCATTCAAGTCATGATACTTATGAATTGCATTTTTAATTATTGTGTGTTTTGTGTAGCGATGGGCTTGGCCACCATAGAGGTGATGCAGGCCATGCAGCGCACCTGGAGTAACTCGAAGGTTCGAGTCAACGGAAAGACCAGACAGCTGCAGTGGAGAGACATGTTTGACATCGCAGTGAAATGGAGAAGGTCAGATTCCAGCCAGCGTTCCTGAGCTCTTCTCACGGCTCTGTGGAGGGTGTTACCAGGGCTTGATGACTGATCTTTGCTGGTGTGTGTGTGTGTGTGTGTGTTCACGGGCGTGAGCAGGATTGCAGATCCAGACCAGCCTGTGCTGTGGTTGGATCAGATGCCTGCCAGGAGTCTTAGCAGAGGATTTAACAACCACATTAACCTCATCAGGTGCTGTATCTGCCCTCAACCTGTCATCTGCTCTGTAAAGCGGCCAGTCCTAATCGCTTAAGAACTTTGTTTGACTTTTGAGGGCCGTTCGCACCAAGGATGATAACTAGAACCATGTAGTTTTAATGATTATTTTATTTCTCCACGACCACAACTGTAATGAAGGAACGATATTGTTGTAAATTTTGTGGGGGAAAAAAAAGAAGCTTTAAAAGGCACCCTGTGGTTTTCCAGCAAAATGTAAGTTAGTTGGATGAAATGAAATTAAGACAGCAGTAGATATTAGTATTATAATTTTAAAGTTGTAATATAGAATAAAATTATTCTGTTTTATATTATTTATATATTTTTTATGATATAATTTCTATTTTTATTATATTTTTTTATTTTACGTTGAAACATTACTTATTTCGTTTTTATATGTAAATGTTTGTCATTTTTATATTATTATTTAATAGTAGTAAAAATTATTATTAGAATTATTAGTATTAATAGTATTAATATTGATATTATTTTATAGCTTTTAAACTGCCGGACAATTTATGTAGCCTTACAAACAAGCAAAGAAAACCTTGATTTTTTTGTTTTTGTTTTTTTAAATCAATAAATAAATTAGATTTTTTTCCCGCCAAATCGTGCAGCCCTACAGTGTGCTGTCCATGAAAATAGATACCATGCCAATATTAGATCTTACTGATATTGTATATGCTAATATTGGTATCATTAATGACGATTCTGTACAGAGAAGATGCAGCCAATTTCGCACCTCAAGCGTGAGCAGAGTATGAATAGTTTTACTTCCTATTAGAATACTCTCTGATTGAAACACTGCAGCAAGCATTTTCATTGAAACCGCACGTCTTGTGAAAAGCGCTTCGACGCTCTGCCTGCCGCTTCTGCTTTCGTTGTGAAGACACGGGTGTCAAACTCGAGGCCTTTGGGCCAATTCTGGCCTGTCACCTGATTTCATGCGGCCTGCGAGCACATTTTTGAAATGTACAAGTGAAATGTCTCATTTAGTGCTTTTCTTGTAAACATTAACACTTTGACAGATACAAGCACACTAGTATGTTTATAGCGTTCAGCGTGCGCCGTGATCAGCTGCTACACTCACATCGCTCAGCGCTAGTCATATATCACAGTTTTTCAGGGTTTTTAACACATGAGGTTTATTTTAGGTTCCTGGAATTGAGTTTGAGACCCCAGTTCTAACCTGTCAACATAGGTGCCGAAAAAATATGTGCTGCTCACACTTGTGGTGTGAAACAGTTGTTTTATAGTGTTTTCATTGTTTTTTTTCTGTTGTTTCACAGAGGCCAGATCATTAATATCAGATATCTGCAGTATTTCAGTAGTATTCTCAGCTTTGTGAAGGAAAGAATACTGGTTTATCATGGGTAAGTCTCTTTGTGTGTGTGTGTGTTTTATTTTGGAAGGCAGAATTGTTTTTAAAAATATACTGATAAAAGCTTAACACAATTGTTTGTTAGTTCATTAATTTACTCATTTAATAACACACACCTCATTAATTCACAACTCTCATTCATCCACAAAATGATCAAACTTATTATTATATAATAATAATAATAATAAATGTTTATTGATCAGCAAATCAGCATATCAGAATGATTTCTGAAGGATCATGTGACACTGAAGACTGGAGTAATGATGCTGAAAATTCAGCTTTGATCACAGGAATAAATTCCATTTTAAAAAAAATATTAAAATAGAAAACAATAATTTTACATTGTAATAATATTTCACAATATTACTGTTTTTACTGTATTCTTGATCAAATAAATGCAGCCTAGGTGAGCATAAGAGACTTTATTCAAAAACATAACAAAAATCTTACTGTTTCCAAACTTTTAAACAGTAGTGTACATTTTATTTTATACCCTGTACATTCAGTCAAACACTTCACCATTCAGTTATAAAAAGTGTTCGTTTATTCATTCATTAATTTCTTCAAACACCTTATTTTTTATAATATATAAATTCATTCATGCATGCATTCACTCACATACTGTTTATCTTTTATTCATTGTCCATTTATTAATACATTTGAATCATTTTCATGCACATGTTTTTTCTCCATCAGGGCGTATAACCCGCGGGTGCTTCAGGAAGTAAAGCAGGCTCTGGAAAATGTGAATAAAGTGGAGGATCTGCTGCCCATCATGAAGGTAACATGAGCATTAAACATGAAAAACGGTAGTTTTATAGCTGTTTATCAGTCTTTTTAATCATTTAGTTATTATCTTTATCAGTCTTTAACTGGATAATTTGTTATCCAGTTAACCAATTAAATGAAATGAAGTAATTTTTCTGGTTAGACAAGGTTAGTGAATGTTTCTAGGTCTAGAGGCATCCTTCTCACCCTAAACGTTAACTAGTGTTTAATGTCTGAGATATATTATTCAGTTTCCAGTTTTCATTTTATTAAATTTTTTTTCTAATATTAGTGCAAGAATTATTAAAGGGGTCATCGGATGCTACATGCACTTTTACAAGTTGTTTGAACTGAAATGTGTGTTGGCAGTGTGCTGAAGACGCAGTGGATTACGTTCGTTTTTGAAGGGAATGCGCCCCCGATCTACCTAAACACGTCTATGTTCGCGCAAATCATTCATGATCCAGCCTCATCTACAG